TGACAGCCAGGGCTACACAGAGAAACCCTGTCTCAAAAAACAAAGTCAAAAAGAAGAAAGAAAGAGACAAAGAAAGAAAAATAACACAGTAGGATTGATCTCTCCAAAATGAGGTTGGTCCCCTCAAAAGTAGATTGACTCCCGAAAAAGGAGGCAGAAGAGAAGGTCCTGTGATCATCAAGAGGATCTGAGTTCAATTCCCAGAATGCACACGGCAGCTCACAACCATTAGTAATTCCAGACCCAGGGGATCCGATGCTCTCCTCTGGCCTCCAAGGGCACTGCATACAAATGGTGCACAGACACAAGCAGGCAAAACACCCATACACATACAAAAAATGTTTTTAAAGAGAGAGTAGGAGTTGGGGATTTAGCTCAGTGGTAGAGCACTTGCCTAGCAAGTGCAAGGCCCTGGGTTCGGTCCTCAGCCCTGAAATTTAAAAAAAAAAAAAAAAAAAAAAGAGAGAGTAGAATTAGAAGATAAAGACATTGAAACTATTGTAAAAATGTATTCTGTATTTTCAAAAGAGTAAGAGAAAAGATGATCAAGATAAGGGTATTGGAAGATATAATAAATTCAAGGCTAGCATGGACTAGCATAGGTCAGAGATCCTACCTCAAAGGGAGAAAATCATGCTAAGACCACATACTGTGTGGTTTCCTTTAGGTGAATCTACAGAGGCAGAAAGTAGAAGAACGGTTGCTTAGGGCTAAGGGTGGGTGGAGAGTAAGGAATGCTAGCTAATGGATGTGAAAGATTTTCTAAAATTATATTGTTATCATGGTTGCACAACCCTGAACTGTGTGCTTTAAATGAGCACACTATACATTGTGTGGACTTTATCTCAGTAAACCTATTAGCAGAAGGAACAGAGAGAAAAACAGCTGGAAATGTTCCCAGATGCCTCTTGGAAACTAAACAGCCTCTTGCTACCCATCGAGTGGCTAGATCAATTCAGGCTTTCCAGATGTCTTCCTCATTTCCTGCGTGTAAACTGTACACTATAATTTAGTATTAACAGAATGTTAATAAAGATTACACTCCCTTTGTTGCTAAATTCCACAGTGTTTGCTATTTCCCTCCAGCATACACATTTCCTCTGTCTTCCAACTGCAGCTGAGCTGCCAAAACCTTGCAGGGAGCAATTACCGTCTGCGCCGTCCCTGCCTTCGCTGCGGAGCGGGTCAGACTCAGCACCTACAGAAAACTCACGCCTGACTCTCCTCCTCCCAGGGGTCTTCATTGTTGTTGTTTGTTTTGTTTATTTATTTATTTATTTTTGTTGGGGCAGCAGAGTTTGAGATCACTGTGTGCACTGGCTGGGCTGGAAATCACTTTGTAGACCAGGCTGCCCTTGAATTCACAGAAATTGGCCGGCCTCTGCTTCCAGAGTGCTGAGATTAAAGACATGAGCCACCACTCAGATCTGATTTTTGAATTTTTAGGCACACATTTTATATCTACAAATTTATTAGTGTCATATGTAAAACTTAAAACAAAACAAAAGCATTTACCTTCTTATCTGAAAGACTATAACTTCAAATTCACTCTCTGTGGGTTGGATGTGGTGACACATGCCTTTAATCCCAGCACGTAGGAGGCAGACAAAGGCAGATCTCTGTGAGTTCAAGACCAGCCTGGTCTACATAGTGAATTCTAGGCCAGCCAGGGCTGCAAAGTGAGACCCTGCCTCAAAAAATCAAAGTTAAAACATAAAAATAAAAATTCACTCTCTGCCCTACTAGGAGAAGGGTAAACAGTCTGGCAGCTCTGTAAGCAGTTCAGCAGAGTGGCCTTAGGATCCAGCGGTCCCTTTCCTATGTGTGTCCAGGAGAACAGAAAACATGATACAGTAATGAAATGCACAGGACTGGGTGGTATTTAAAGAAGAGTTGGGTTTTGTTGTTTGTTTTTTGAGACAGGATCTCACTATGCGGACTTGCTGTCCTGAAACTCTAAGTAGACCAGGCTAGCCTCAAACTCACAGATGTGCAGTGCTGGGATTATAGTCAAGCACTGCAACACTCAGCCCATGAATTTTGGGTGTTTTCTTTTAAAAACACTTTAAAAATTATTTTATGTATATGAGCATTTTGTCTGCATGTATATCTGTGCACCACATTCACACTTGGTGGCCAAGGTGACTCAAAGAGGCACTGGATTTCCTGGAATTAGAGTTACAGATGGTTGTGAGCCACCATGTAGGTGCTAAAAACTGAAGCCAGGTCCCCTGGAAGAGCAGCCTGTGCTCTTAACTGTTGAGCCATCTCTCCAGCCCTGTTTGTTTGTTTGTTTTTGTTTTGTTTTAAGCAATCACTTTTGGAAACTGAAGGTCCCAACAGCATTGTGCCAGCTCTGGTGAAGCTACCCCAAGCTCCATCACATGGAACTTGGCACAAGGCATAATAACAGAGGGCATGTAACAGGGAGATCATCAGGGAGGGGACAGGCTTGTTCTTCCCTAGCAACCCTCTCTAAGAACCCCCTAGTGGGAGCTGGAGAGATGGCTTAGAGGTTAAGAGCCCTGGTTGCTCTTCCAGAGGACCTGGGTTCAATTCCCAGCACCCACAGGGTGGCTCACAACCACCTGTAATGTGATCTGGTGCCCTCTTCTGGCCTGCAAACAGAACACTGTGTACATAATAAGGAAGTAAACCTACATCAGTCTCTTCTGAGAGTGATCATCAGTCTCTTCTGAGAGTAATGCCCCCAACTGCCTTTCATCAGGCTTATGTTCTCGTTCTCTCTCTGTCTCTGTCTGTCTGTCTCTCTCTCTCTCTGTCTCTCTCTCTCTGTCTCTCTCTCTGTCTCTCTCTCTCTCTGTCTCTCTCTCTCTGTCTCTCTCTCTGTCTCTCTCTCTCTCTCTCTCTCTCTCTCTGTCTCTCTCTCTCTCTCTCTCTGTCAAATAGGGTCCCACGTAGCCAGGCTGGCCTCTGACTATATAGCTGAGGATGACTTAGAACTTTTGATCCTCCTGCCTCAGCTTCCCAAATGCAAGGGTTATAGGCATGTGCCACTACTCAGATGCCACCATCTCTTAAGGGTTCCATATCACCTCCCAAATGTTGCCACACTAAAGACAAAACCTCTACCACCTGAACCCTTGGGGGACACACTCAAACTATAACTTAACTGTGGGAGCCCACAAAGGTTTCCTAGTGAAATCTGAGCTTGCTCTACATAACAGGGCTGCATAAAGGAATGGAATGACCACGTGCGTGGTTACTAGGTGTTTGGAAGGGCCTGCATTTGGCTATGCTAGGGGGAGGTCTTTTACTCAACCCCTTGGCATTTCTATTAATAGCCCTTTAGAAGAGACAAAAGGGGCTGGTGGGTTTTGATCCAGGCCCTCCCGAGGCTATCCTGTGTTTCTATCTGTCCCTCTCCCCTCTATATTTCTATCTAAATATTTCTCACTTCTCCCTACTCAAGAATACACTGGGGAAAAAGTGGGGGCGGGTCCCCCCACACCTAACCATATCACATACAGAAACATGTACATGAATGTCCAAAGCAGCACTAGTCATAACTAGTGATGAGTGGATAAGCAAAAATGTGGTCTATTAATACAATCGAGTATTATTTGGTAATAAAAATGAATAAAGATAGATAGACACTGTGATAGAGAATAACTTAAAAACATACCAAATGAAAGAAGGCAATCACAAAGATCACATATTATAACCTTAATTTATATGCAATGTCCAGAACAGGTAAATCTATAGAGGTGGAAGACAGGTAAGTGGTCCCCTGGGGCCCAGAGGATTGGGAAGTGGTGATAGAGGAATTTGGGAGTGATAGCTAAGCAGTTCTGGGAGTTTCTCCACGGCAATGAAATGCCTATACAAATGCTTATACAAATCTATGAGTTTAAATGCCATTGATTGTTATTTTTATTTCTAAATGTGTGAATTGTATGTATATGTCATAAGCTGTTAAAAGAAAAAAATTTACTATACACCCAAAGGTTTACCCACTAATTAATGAGTAAACAAAATGTGGTATGTCATACAATAAATAAATAAATATTATTTAACAGTAAAAAGGTACAAAAATGAGCATGTACATAGTATCCACATTCTCAACTTCAAATCACTACAGTTTCGTGTCTTTCTTGCTTGATTTTTTTTTTTTTCAGAAAATAGGGGCTGATGCTGCCATTCATAAACTAATCAAAGTTCTGTCTACTGATGTAGCACAAGACGTTATTTTCAAAATAAAAAAATAGAAACACTTCTGTTTTTTCCAGTATGGAAGGGGAAGGAGACGATGACAGGGTCTCACTGTGAAGCCCTGCCAGCCTGGAACTTGTTACATCAACCAGGGTGGCTCTGAACTTTAAATGATTCTCCTACTTCTCCTGCCCCTATCTCCTGAGAGTAGGGATTACAGGTGTATACCTCCAGAGCCAGCTAGTCAGACCAACTGTTTTCTTTTTTTTAAGATTATTGTTTTTAGCCGGGCGGTGGTGGCGCACGCCTTTAATCCCAGCACTCGGGAGGCAGAGCCAGGCGGATCTCTGTGAGTTCGAGGCCAGCCTGGTCTACAGCGCAAGATCCAGGAAAGGCGCAAAGCTACACAGAGAAACCCTGTCTCGAAAAACCAAAAAAAAAAAAAAAAAAAAAAAAGATTATTGTTTTTAATTGTGGGTGTGTGCCTCTGTATGCGGGTATGTGCAGGTGCCTGAGGAGCCCAGAGGTATTGGATTCCCTGGAATCGGAATTACAGGCAGTTGTGAACCAACTGCCGTGGGTGCTGGGAACCAACCTGTAAAAGCAGCATGCAGCATATATTTTTACCAGGTGAACCGTCTCTCCAGCCTCTACTCATTCAAACTCTGGAAGTACTTGTTAAAAGGCAAAATTACAGATACAGATCAGTGGTAGATGCTTGCTAGCAGGAGGTCTGAGTTCAAAGTCCAGAGCCTCCAAAAGCGAAAGGTCTTTAAGTACTAAATATGAACATTTAACTGGCAATATCAGCAACTTGAATTACCAACCTTAAACACATCTTCAACACATCGACTAAGTTCTTCCTCAGTCACCAAAATAGCTCCTGGCACCATATCACTCTCTGGAATCTCTTCGGAAACAAACAAAATTAACTCCATTATTTTTCTGAACAGAAGACACTAATAAAACAAAGTTTTAATAGTAAGACAGTCCAGGTAAGACCAGAAAATTAGCATTACCACTATACAATATGCCATTAATATATTATATCTATGGACTCTAAGGTGCTACTGATGATGTCAGGTCTTGTTTAGGGAAAAAAGAGTTCTAAAGCAGTGGACTTTCGTCTTTTGAATGGAGTATTAAAAGAGCTGCCATGGTGGCATGTGCCTATAACCTCAGTACTTGCAAAGCCAACAGACAACACAGCTGAGTTCGAAGCCATCCTGTGCTCTATTGCTCTACAGCATGACCTTGTTTCCAAAATCCAAAAACTGGAGTTGGAGATATGGCTCACTGGTTAAGAGCACTTGCTACTTTTTCAGAGGACCCAGGTTGTTCCCAGCACTCACTTGGTGGCTGGCAACTACCCATAATTCCAGTTCCAGGGATCTGATGCCCTCTTTTGGTCTCCTCAGGCACTGCACACATGTGGTGCACAGACATACATGCAGGAAAAATGCTTACATACTTTAAAAAATAATAAATGTTTTTAAAAACGAAAACCCAAACTTAACAGAAGTTTCTCGGGTCCCACCCGGCCCTCCATGGTCCAGACAAATCTCTCTCAACCATGGTCCCGCAGCTGCTCAGACCCAAGTAAACACACAGAGGCTTATATTAACTACAAACTGTATTGTCTATGTATGTCTTCTTGCTAACTAGCTCTTTCAGATAAAGAGCTCTTCAGAAATATATTTTTATTATATATTGTGCTTTATGGAAGTTAAAAATTGGGCTAGGTGATGCTGGCACACACCTTTGATCCCAGCACTCTGGAGGCAGAGGCAGGTAGATCTCTGTGAGTTTGAGGCCAGCTTGGTCTATAGAGCAAGTTCCAGGACAGCCAATGCTACATACCTTGTCTCAAAATACTGGGGGAAAAAAAAGGAAAAGAAAAGAAAGAAAAAGGGGAAGGGAATAAATAAATCAGAGAAATGTTCTTCTCTTTTCTTCCTTTTTTTTCCCCCTTAAAATAATCTCATGTAGCCCAAGCTGGCTTTGAACTCCTTATGAGCCAAGGATGACCTTAAATCTTCTGCATCCACCTCCCAAGTGCCAGAATTCCAGGTGTGGGCCACTATGCTCAGCTTCTGAAGTACTGGGCACTGAACCGAGAGCTTTCTGATAGCTAAGTAAGCACTCCTCCCAATGAGCGAAACTCCTAGCTCAAAATCCAGGGAGAGGGAGTTGTTTTTGTTGGGACAGTCCCACTCTGTAGCACAGGCTGACCTCAAATTCATGATCCTCCTGCCTCAGCCTTTCAAGTGCTGAGATACAGGAAGATGCTACCATGGTCAAAGTTTTCTTTTCTTTTCTTTTTTTTTTTTAAAGATTTATTTATTTATTATGTATACAACATTCTGCCTGCATGTATCCTTGCACACCAGAAGAGGGCACCAGATCTCATTACAGATGGTTGTGAGCCACCATGTGGGTGCTGGGAATTGAACTCAAGACCTCTGGAAGAGCAGTCAGTGCTCTTAACCACTGAGCCATCTCTCCAGCCCCAAAGTTTTCTTTTTTTAAGGTTTATTTTTTATTTTTAATTATGTGTATATATGTGAGAACAGATTCCCACAGAGGACAATGGCTCCCTTGGAGCTACAGTTATGAGCAGCATGGGTGCTGGGAACTGAACTTAGGTCCTCTGCAATGGCAGTTAGTGCTCTTAACTACTGGGCCATCTCATCATCCACCCCCTACCCCCCCACCCCGCCCCTGCAATTTTTTGGTGGTGGTGGTGCCTCATACATATCTGGGCAAGAGAATACCATAATGCAATGCACATGTAGAAGTCAAAGGGCAAATTGGAGGAGTCAGTTCTCTCCTTCCACCCTCTGGGTCTCAGGGTTGAAATCGGGTCAATAGGCTTGGCAGCAAGGGTCTTTACCTTCCAAGCCGTCTTGCAGGCCCCTCAAAGTTGTGTGGGTTTTTTATGCCTATCTTAAAAACTAATAAAATGTGATCATTCATAATTGCCACATAGGGGGCTGGAGAGATGGCTCAGTGGTTAAGAGCACTGACTGCTCTTCCAGATGTCCTGGGTTCAGTTCTCAGCACCCACATGGCAGCTCACAACTGTCTGTAACTCCAGTTCCAGGAGATCCAACACCCTCAAACAGGCAAACCAGTGTACATAAGATAAAAATAAATAAATCATTTTTTAAAAATTGCCACACAGGGGGTTGGAGATTTAGCTCAGTGGTAGAGCGCTTGCCTAGCAAGCGCAAGACCCTGGGTTCGGTCCTCAGCTCCAGGAAAAAAAAAATTGCCACACAGGACTGAAAGTGAAAATGGGAAAACAAAGCATTGCTAAGAAAGCCTCCTCTTGAGACTTCTCAGTGGCCATGATTGGCAATGATGCCCGTATGTAGGACTGGGCACATTCTCACCAGCCTGCTGGCACAAAGGCTGAGGTAGATGGATCAGAAGTTCAAGGCCAGCTGGAGTAACTTAAGACCTGTGGCTAAATTTAAAAAAAAGGGGGGCGTGGGGGGATGGGTTATCGCTCAGTCATAAAGCACTAGCCTAGCATCACAAGGCTCTAGGTCCAATCTTCCAGCACCACCAAGGCCTCAAAAGGAATTAGTCATTTTCTTACTTAGTCCTTTTTGTTACCAGTAGATCACATGTGCAAAACATGTAAACAATGTTGCCAATGTAATACAGCACAGGAGGGAAACCTGTTCCTGGAAGGAACAGACGAGGTCCAGGACAAGCCCTGACAATGTCGTATCCATGTAAAATTTCCAAGTGTGATCACCGTTCCACAGTCAAGAAACCGACCTTGTTTTCTTGACTTTCTGAACTCACCTTCACTTATTTGTATGTCCACCCCTTGCTCCCCTGCCTGCACAGCCCACATGTGGAGGTCAGAGGACAACTTCTCCTGAACTCAAGATGTCAGGCTTGGCAGCAAGCCCCTCTACCCACTGAGCCAGTGGGCTGGTCCTTTTGAAAATTGAGAGGTTGTTTTTTTTTAAGTTTTTGGAAAGACAGAAACTGACATTTTTCTTTGAAGATTTGTGCTGAAAGATTTAGAAGTGACATGTCATCACGTCTACAGCTAACTTTCAAATGTTCCATAAAAAACTACATTCATGTGTGTAGAGAGAAATGAGGCAAATGTGACCAAAATGGGAACAGTTGGTGACTCTGGTGAAGCTGGTCCGAGGGACTCAATATTCTCTTCTTGGAACTTGGGAGAAGTAAAGTTTTCCGAGTAAAATGCTAGGAAGGAGGAGGAAAACTGCAGACTTCGAGACCCATGAGTCTGAACTGGAGGAGGCCCACCCAGCTCCCTCCCTTACCTGCGGTGCTCAAGCACCGATGTAGAGGGGCTAGCATGGGGCGAAGCAGATGCTCTGGGGCCAGTTCCGGGCGTTCCCTCAACATCGTGATGAAGGTGGTGGTGGCCACTCTCTGAAACTGGCGTGCGGTCAATTTATCTTGAAAATGGAGTAAGTCCAGAATCTACAATAAAAATCAACAGCACATAAGAGAAAAAGGCGTGTATATTTTTTAATTTTTAAAAATGTGAGTGGGTATTTTACACGCGTGTGTCTGTGTGCCACATGCATGCTGTGCCATGGAGGCCAGGGTGGGCATCTGGAGGGCTAGTTCCTATATTGGTGCTGAAAATTAAACCTGGGTTCCATGCAAGAGCAACCAGTGTTCTTAACTGCTGAGCCATCTCTCCAGCTCAAAAAAGCATTTATTTAAGCCAAGACTACGAAACCACTGAGAGGCTGCTGAATGGTGAGCTGACAGAACTGTGTTAATCTAACAACCAAACACCAAAGGGTGTGATCTAAAGAGGCGATGGTGGTGGTGATGGTGGCACTCTGGGGTTTTTGTTTTGTTTTTTGCTTGGGGAACTTTGGTAGGCAGCATTTGAGACAGTGTCTCACTGTGTAGCCCTGGCTGTCCTGGAACTTGTTATGTAGACCAGGAGCAGAGATGTAAGTGTATGTACAACACGTAAACTCAAAGATCCATCTGTCTCTCCCTCCTGAGTACTTGGATTAAAAGTGTATGCCAGCATCTGTGGCCAAGATTTATTTTTATTTGTGTGTGTGTGTGTGTGTGTGTGTGTGTGTGTGCGTGCGTGCGTGCGTGCGTGCGTGCGTGCGTGCGTGCGTGCGTGCGTGCGCACGCCCTTGAGAGCTAGTAGAGAATGTCAGATCCTCTGAACTGGAGTTACAGAGTTTTGTGAGCTGCCTGCCATGGTGCTGAGAACCAAACCTGGGTCCTGGGAAAGAGCAACAATCACTCTTAAGCATAAGCCATCCTTCCAGCCTAGTTTTTCCTTTTTAAATTGTTACCATGTTAATTTACTGCATTTAACACTTAACACATTCTACTTTAAAAACCAAAAACATGCAACGAGATATAATGAACCAGGTGAAATTTTGGTGAGGCTTTTTATTTCCAATAGTGAAGTTCAAACTAAGAGATCTGCCTGTCTCAACCCCTCAGTTCTGGGATTGTAAGTGTGGGCCTCTGTGCCCAGGGGTGAGAAATTCTTAAACCTGACAATCGGGTCATACTCTTCCACGAGTTTTTATTTACTTATTAAGTGCACACCTTGAATCCCAGCATGTGGAAGTCAGAGGCAAGTGGATCTCTGTGAGTTCCAAAACAGCCAAGGCTACACAGAGACACCCTGTCTTGAAAATCCTGCCTCCTCCCCCCACCCCAGCCAAAAAAGAAGAAAGGCCCGGGGCTGGAGAGCTGGCTCAGCAGTTAAGAGCACTGACTGCTCTTGGAGAGGACCTGAGTTTGGTTCCCAGCACCCACATCAGGCAGCTCACAACTGCCTCGTTTTAGTTTGGTTTTCTGTTGCGGATATAAGACTCTGACCAAGGGCACCTTGTGGAAGGAAAGGGTTTGTCATAGCTTACAGGTGATGTAGTCCATCATCAAGGGAAGTCAAGTCAGGAACTGAAACAGAAATCACAGAGGAAGGAGGAATGCTACTTACCAGCCTCCTCCTCGTGGCTTGCTCAGCCTGCTCTCTTATACAACTGATGACCACCTACTCAGGGGTAACACAGCCACAGTGAGCTGGGCCCTTCCACATCAATCATTAATCAAGAAAATGCCGCACAGATATGCCCACAGGCCAGGCTGAAGGAGGCAATTCCTCAGGAGTTAAGGTTTCCTCTTCTCAGGTGACTCTAGTTTGGTCCAGCGGACAACAAAGCAGCTAATACCTGTAGCTCAAGCTCTGGGGATAGGATGGGCGTGGGTGCGTGCTGCATGTGTGGAGGAGGAGGAGGAGGAGGACGTGGGGTGGTCCCCACCAGACACAGTGGTCCAGAACTGTAACCCCAGCACTAGGGAGGCTAGGACAGGAGGATCACTGCCAACCTGGGTTATATATTGAGTTCTGGGCCAGTCTAGACTCCAGCAACCCTGCCTCAAACAAACAACATAAAAAGAGAGTCATGGGGGCTGGAGAGATGGCTCAGCGGTCAAGAGCACTTGACTGTTCTTCCAGAGGTCCTGAGTTCAATTCCCAGCAACCACAAGGCGGCTCACAACCATCTGTAATGAGATCAGATTCCTTCTTCTGGTGTACATGAAGACAGAGCACTCATACACATAAAATAAATAAATAAATAAATAAATCCTTAAAAAAAGAGTCACTTACTAAACAGCAAAATGAAATACTATACCACTCTTCCTTCACTTTTAGAATATTAACTGCCCTGTATGTAAATTAGCAGATAATGCTTGATGGATCAAGAGTTACAAAATGATTTACCTGTGGGCAGATGTCCCTGTAGTAGCTCTCTGGGGAAAGAGACTGCTGGGGACAAGAGGCCAGAATCTTTGCAATCAAGTCACATTTCCTCCAGTCAGCAGCCGTGGCCTCGGCATCACTCCCTCCAGCAGCACCCGCTGTTACATGGAAAGAGACATATGCTCATAGCAGTTCCATATAAGTGTACGTGGTGAAGCTGCCTTCAAATTTGGCATCAGAAATGTTTCTTTTTCTCTACTGGAAACACTATTTTTTAAATATTTTATTTACTCTTTTATAATTTCACAAATCTATACAATTTTCTTTGATCAAAATGCTCCCATTACCCTCTCTTTTTATTTATTTATTTATTTATTTATTTATTTATTTATTTATTTATTTTGTTTTTCGAGACAGGGTTTCTTTTCTGTGTAGTTTTGCGCCTTTCCTGGATCTTGCTCTGCTGGCCTCGAACTCACAAAGATCCACCTGCCTGCCTCCCTAGTGCTGGGATTAAAGGCGTGCGCCACCACCGCCCGGCCCCATTATCCTCTCTTAATCTCTTCCACCTCCCACCAAAACAGTCTCCTCCGAGAAAATCTGAGCTGGGTGTACTGGTGCACGCCTGCAATCTCTCCTTGGGGAGCTTCGAGAGGACTATATGCAAGCTTGAGGCCAAACTGGTCTACAAAGCAAGTTTCAGGGTAGTCAGAGCTACACAAAACCCTGTCTCTAAAGGGGAAAAAAAAAGCCAGGTGTGGTAAGGCATGTCACAAATTTAAAGCTAGCCTGATCTACATAAAGAGTTTCGGGCCAGCTAGGGCTACATAGAAAAAAAAAATTCATTGCTAGTAGACCTAAGAAGCAATTTTTTTTTATGTTGAGGCAGAAGGAAATATGGATTTAAGTTTGTTTTTTCAAAGATTTGTTCATTTTATATATTTGTATGATTGTTTTGTTTGCATGATGTACACGCACTAAAGAGCCTAGAAGAGGCACAGGATCCTCTGGTAACTGGAGTTTCGTATGGTTGTAAGCCACCATGAGGGTGCTGGGAGCTGAACCCAGGTTCTGGACAAGAACAATCAGTGCTTTTAACCACTGGCCATCTCTTTAGGACCTTTGTTTGTTGTTTTGAGACAGGGTCTCAAACAACAGCATGTAGACCAGGTTAACCTCTAACTCTCGGTACGCCTGAGTGCTGAGGTCATAGCCTATGCCAACACACCTGACTTGGGGACCTAGTATCCTTACAGCAGCCCTCCAATCTGTATGCCTTTGAGCAGAATCTACTGGGGTTGAGCTCAGTACCTGCTGTATGCTAGGTACAAGGACTAAGTTGAGCGACACCTCCACACTCAATGAGATTTAAAGGCAAAGGCCAGCGATTCACCTCTGACTCTGACTCAAAGGGAAACAGATACCAAAGTAACAGAAATATGTTATTTCTTACCACCTGCTCCTTCCAAAATGCCCCGGACTACTGCCTGAACACCGTTGGGTCTCATCAACCTTTCAGAGAGCAGCTGCCCACATAGACGCCGGAGCCAAGCTGGGGCCTGACACCGGAGCTGTGTCTTTACATCTGCACAGGACTGACAAAAGGCGGGGTGAAGTTATAAACTGAGCAACAGTGAAACACATACAGTATGAAGCCAGTGTGTGTGTGTGTGTGTGTGTGTGTGTGTGTATGCTGGGGAAGTAGCTCAGTGGTGGATCATATGTTTAGTACGTGCAAGGACCTAAGTTTGATCACACCCACAGAGAGAGAGAGACAGTGTGCAATACTCCCCTACCCTCTGTCCGTTCAGTGCTAGTAAATGAGCCCAGGGCCTTGTGAACAGTAGGCAGGCCCTCCCCAGTGTCCCTTTCTCTTTTACAGAACCCTCTTCAGCACGACATGTTTGGTTTTCTGACTCTCTCTCTCTCTCAGATCCCTTGGAACTAAAGTTACAGGCATTTGTGAGCTGCCGGATATGGGCACTGGGATCCAAACTTGGGTCCTCACGATTGAGCAGCAGATGTTCTTAACTGATAAGCCATCTCTCTAGCCCCAATCATATTGTTGCCTTTATTTTAAAAAAACAAGGTCTCACTAAGAACCCCTGGCTGACCTGGAACTTGCCAGATAGACCAAGAGGGTCTCAATTTCACAGGCATCTGCCTGTCTCTGCCTCCAAAGTGGGATTAAAGGTGTTCACCACCATGCCTGACCTTCAATATTTTTGTTCCTTGAAACAAGGTTTCTCTGGGTAGCCCTAGGTAACCTGTAATTTACTTTGTAGACCAGACTGGTCTTGAACTCACAGAGATCCACCTGCTTCTGCCTCCTAAGTGCTGGGATTAAAGGTGTGCGCCACTGCTCCCAGTCTCTCCAATAATTATTTTTGAGAGAAAAATAAACTAAACTGGCTTAATGGTACAGGCTTATAATCCTAGCTACTTGGGAAGCTAAGGCAGGAGGATTCCCAAGTTCAAAGCCTGACTGGGCTACAGACCTGATTCAAGACCAGCCTGATAAGTTATCAAAACTCTCTCTCAAAAGAAAAAAAAATGAGCCATCTTAATGCCAACAATATATATTAGAATGTTTTTCAAGCAAAAGTGCGAGACTAGATACAGTAATAGCTCTAGTTTAAATTATTTCATTCAAAACATAAGGTACCCAAACACTTCTGTCAAAAAATATATTGTCCGGGCTGGAGAGATGGCTCAGTGGTTAAGAGCACTGACTGCTCTTCCAGAGGTCCTGAGTTCAATTCCCAGCAATCACATGGTGGCTCACAACCACTTGCAATTAGATCCTGTGCCCTCTTCTGGCCTGCAAGGGTACATGCAGGCAGAACACTGTATACATAATAAATAAATAAACCTAAAAAAAAAAAGTTAAAAAAAATATATTGTCCAATAGTTAAATGTTAGTTAAAAAATAAATAAATAAATAAATAAGGCCAGGCAGTGGTGGCGCACGCCTTTAATCCCGGCACTCGAGAGGCAGAGGCAGGTGGATCTCTGTGAGTTCGAGGCCAGCCTGGGCTACCAAGTGAGTTCCAGGAAAGGTGCAAAGCTACACAGAGAAACCCTGTCTCGAAAAACCAAAAAATAAAAAATTAAAAAATTAAAAAAAAAAAACTCAGGCCAGAAAGAAGCCTGATGACCTGAGTTTGATTCCCAGAACCCACATGGTAGGCGAGTACTGACTCCTGGTAGCTGTAGAAGGACCTCCCTCCACATGCACCCCACGGCACCCATGATCTGGCAGGGACACCCTCCCCCAACACAAATAATTAAAAAAAATTAATACAGAGGCTGAGGATATAACTCAGTGGTAGGCTGGTTTTGTTTGTTGTTTGTTTGTTTGTTTGTTTGTTTGTTTGTTTAGAGACAGAGTTTCTCTGTGTAGCCCTGGCTGTCCTGTCACTTTCGCTGTAGACCAGGCTGGCCTCAAATTCACAGAGATCCACCTGCCTCTGTCTCCTGAGTCCTGGGATTAAAGGTGTGTGCCACCTCCGCCAGGCATAGACTGCTTACCTAACATGTATAGGTCCTGGGTGCAATCTCCAGCATCACAAATTAAAAAGATCCAAAGCTAAGCAGAGTGGCTCCTGGCACTTGGAGGCTGAGGCAAGAGGAGAGCCACTAGTTCAAGGCTAGCCTGTGCTACATAGTGAGTAGCCAGCCTGAACTATAGAGTAAGACTCTGTCTAAAAACAAACAGATGGGCTGGAGAGGTAGTTCGATGACTAGGAGCATTAGCTGCTCTTAGCATAGGGCTTGGGTTCAATTTCCAGCATCTGCATGGTGGCTCAAAGCCATCCACAACTCCAGTTCCAGGAAATCCAAGAAGACCCTTTCTGACTTCTGCAGACATCAGGAAACACACAGGGCACATGCACATAAAACATTCACATTCATCAAATAAAATAAATATTTTTAATTAAAAACCAAAACCAAACATATGTATGTTTATATTTTTTTCATGGGGCATACATATTATGCACACTTAGAATTCTAGCACTCAGGAGCTAGAAGACAGAAAGATCACAAGTTCAAAACTAGCCGGGGCTACATAAAAGACCCTGTCTCAAAAACAAAACAAAAAACATATGTGACTATATCTCTGTGTGTCTGTGTTCACATTAAATTGCCATAGCCTTTAAAAAGTGATCATAATCTTGGGAAAGTATCCATCATTCCATTAACAAAAAGGTCTTTTAAATTATCCTGAAAGTTACTGTCACTCTATTTTATAAATACCACTTAATTATCTAAAGATAAAGTAAGATTAGGGCATAGTGGCTTACGCCTGCATGTCTGCACTCGGGAGGCTGAAGCACAGTGAGTTCAAGACCAGCCTAGATTACACTGTGAGGGTCTGGAAAGATGCTTAGCAGTTCAGAGCACTGGCCCCTCTTCCAAAGGACCCAGGTTTGAGTCCTAGCACCCATATGGAGGTTCACAATCACCAAGTTTAACCAGTTTAACTCCAGGTGATCTGACCCTTCTGCTGGCCTCTGTGGGCACTAGGCACACATGATGCACAGACATACATGCAGGCAAAACACCCATACACATAAACCAAAATGCAAAAATAGGCCATGTGTGGTGGTACGTGCCTTTAATCCCATCACTTGGGAAGCAAAGGCAGGCAGATCTTTGTGAGAGTTCCAGGCCAATCGGGGCTACACAGTGAAACCTATCTACAAAATAACAATATTATTATTAAAGAAGCAAGGCTCAACTGGACGATTTTACAGGAAACTAAAGCCAGCTAACTTTCCAGGCAAAGACGACAGCACCACCCACCAACTCCCCACCAAGTCCCAAGGCCTGGATACCTGGGGTGGTCCTCCCTGGAGGATAAGCAATTCCCGGACAGCTAATGGTTGATAGACTTGATCCAAGATGTCTCTCAAGGCCCCCCTTGATAGGGTTCTCTCCTCTTCCATTAAAACCTAAAAGAAATGTGCACTTGGCTTTAATGGAGTACAGAACAGGCAGAGGACAGAAGGAAATGGTTATGAAAACTCAGGAGGGAGAGGAGGAAGGCGTGCCCTCAGTCCCTTCTACACGGGGGAGGTTGTGCCCTGCAAACACTCCTGGCCCTCTCTCCATCTCTCGCCTGCGCTGTTCTGGGCAGGAGATGTGCTGGCCTGCTGGTGACTGGAATACACCTGCTTGCTGTCCACTGAGCATAGCCTGCTCAGCCTGCTCCTCTTCTCTCCATGGGAGCAAGACAGAGCAGATGTATATCCCCTGCCATGGGGCGGATGGCACCACAGTTTTCCAGGGCTCCTGAGACTGGATGAGCAGTAATTGTGTCTGACTGGAGTGCACTGACAGAGCTCCATCTTTATCTAAGACATCTCTCCTCACAGGCAAAACTAGCCGGGTGGTGGTGGTGGTGGTGGTGGTGGTGGTGGCACACACCTTTAATCCCAGCACTCGGGAGGCAGAGGCAGGTGGATCTCTGAGTTCAGGGCCAGCCTGGGCTACAGAGCAAATTCCAGAACAGCCAGGGCTACACAGAGAAACCCGTCTCAAAAGTACAAAAGAGAGAGAGAGGGAGCTCACCTCCACCTTAGTCTTTTATGAACAATGGTAATATTTTTACTTCATTGTGGAATTGGTTCTCTCCCTGCACCTTTACTTAGGTTCTGGGGATTAAACTCAGGTCACCAGGTATACACAGTAAACATCTCTACCGGATAAGCCATCTGGCCACCCCCATACTTTGACTTTTCATCTCTTACTCTGAAAACTGTTTTTTTCATGCATTCAGAACTTAACTGTCAAAGAAGGATGGAAGTTACTTTAAGTACTCTTAATACCCAACAGTACCATCCCCTCAGGTAACTGCCACTCACAGTCTGTCAGGGTCCTGCCCACTACTTACCACCTAACACACTGAGATGTGGGTGCTATGCAGAGCGGCTTCACAATGTACGATCATGGGGTGTCCCTGTCAACTCCTGAGCCTGTCTTCACACTCGGGTTCTTTCAACATGTTTGCCTTTTTTCTCTGTCTTACCTGAGACCTCGGGACACTGAAGGGCCTCAAAAACAATAACCAGATCCTGACCTCAGGCCGTAGGCACTGCTGGTTCTGCCAATATGCACGACCCTGAAGTACAGAGCAGGTGCTCTGTCTGGACGCTATTCGGTGACACTGCCTGGACACAGTGGCTTTTCGGTAACTACTTGGGAAGTGGTGTGTTAGGGTCACTATTGCTGTGCTGAATACGGAATACAAAGGAACAAGCCCAAGTGTGTAAGAGAAGCAGGTGTAAGAGAAGTGACAGCATAATGAGCCAGCACCTTTAATCCCAGCACTCAGGAGGCAGAGGCAGGTGCATCTCTGTGAGTTCGAGGCCAGCCTGGTCTCTACAGAGTGAGTCCCAGGACAGCCAAAGCTACACAGAGAAACCCTGTTTCAAAAAAAAAAAAAAAAGAAAGAGAAGAAAAGAAATTCTAGATCTTTCAATCAGCTCATTCTAAAGAACTAGGAAATGCATTTAGAACCTCACAGAAATATACAGGCTATCATTCATTCCCCTCTCTTTCTCTGTACATTTA